TCTGTGCTTTAAAAAAAGTTCATAGCCTACTTGGTGTAAATATGCAAACATTTGTAGAGAAGAGGCGTGTTTCTAAAACACATTGGTAAGAAATGCTTCACACCCATCTTTGTTACCCATTAATTAAGAGAAATACTTGTCTTCCAATGCAGTGGCTTCTTAAATAAAGGTGAGAGTGCCTGGATTTTGTCTATGATGGCCGTACAACAGTAAGTCATGTTTCATCTAAGTCTGCCAAGCCTGGCACACTTCCACGTGACACCTCTTCCCTTCCAGTTGTGGTGAGGTGATTTTTGCTGGGAAGAAACTGGATGGGGGCAGTGCAGGGACTCAGACTTGCATCTGTCCTACAGCGAGCAGATTCAGGTTGTTGGACAGGTACAGGTCAGGGGCGTGATCCTGGTGAGGGAAGTGCCATGGCTGACATGCATGTGGCATTTCTTGTTTCTGGTTGTGTGTGATGGTTCTAGCTCTTGCTAATCAAATTGTCCAGTGTTGTGAGACTTGGATCTTTTCTTCCCTGTCTCCTCTGGAATACTGTGAGGCTGTCTGAATGTCAGGGGTGCTGGTGATTTGGCTGTGATGGGAGTGAATTTTAATTAGGCTTGCTTTTCAGTGTGAATGTATCGATATAGGCATGTTTATGTAGCCTGTCTGTCAGACAAGTTACTAGCCTTCAGTTTGCTTTATGTGCATATTTTAGGGATGGCTTCCAACCTGAGAAACCCCAGCCAGGTCACTGCAGGGCAAGGCAGAGCTGTATTCCCATACCTACCTAATGCTGATGCTGCTTTCCTGCCCCACAAGGATCAGAAGGAATCCATGGGAATTGCTGTCTTCTGGCTCCTGCTTCTGTTTGGGGTGGCTGTGCAAAGGCAGACTGTGCTTACTCATCTGGCTTCAATGCAGCCACACAATTGCCTCTTTCGAGGAAGGGAATTCATTAGTTTCTGTGAAGTGGCCTTGGATCTTTGGGCAGCAGGTGCTTCTATAGAGCAAATTGTTGTTGAATATTCAACAGTTGCTATACAAGCGTCTGGCCAACTGCCTGTGAAGCACTTGGAGTTATCTTGAGCATCCGATTAGATAAAGTGCAGAGTACTTACTGCTTTAAAGCTACCCACGGCTAGGTTGTGTTGGTGGCACTTTAAAGATCATTTGTTGTTTGGGGTTTTTTTATGTGAATCTTCCAAGATTCATAAGCAGTAACTTCATCTCTTTTGACTCGGCCAACAAAAGAGAGAACTGCCTAGCAGAATGAGAAACACAGTGATTCATATTCAGGTTGTCAGAACCTCATTCTCTTACTGATTTTCTGCTAATGGCATGTACACTAGAAACAAGTGACTCAAGATAGAAGTGTCTCCTAATCTTTAACCTACTGTTTAAACTCAGGTTAGCTCTTTTAAGGCTACCTGAATAACACTTGTTCTTGCCAGCCTCTAATTTGGTACATGAAGTACTATAGATATCTAAACTATGAAGGAATAATTTGAGAGGTTAAGCTTGTGCAATCAGTCTTGTCTTGTTCTTTTTTTTTTTTTTTTTTTTGAGTTTAATTTCCTTAGGTGTGGTCTGTAAACAGCTTGTGCTAGGTGGCATCATTGAAAGTATGGTCTTGTGAGAAGCTGTGATCACTGAACAATTACAGCTTCAAATATCTCATAGCTTTAGTCAGTAAGGTGTGGATGCCTGTATATTGTTTACTAGTGATGTGCCCCAATTCTGACTTCCTGTAGTTTTCTTAACTTGTATTAGTTGTTTTAAAGGTGATCTGTCTGTTTTCTTCTACTGGATATTTAGGCCACAAAAGAAAAACTTTTCATTAAATGTGGAATTGTGACAGTTGCACTGAAGGCTGGTTTCACTAAGGGAGTTGATGAGACACCTCAGTGGTGTTATCCAGGTCCCATGCTTCACAGGATTTCTGTCCTGCACATCAGATGTGTTCTTGTGCCTGGAAACACTGCATTATTAGGGCTGTAGTGATTCCCCATCCCTAAGATCTTAAAGCTTAATAGGTAAGAATGTAGTTTCTACCCACAGAAAACAGTCATGCAGGCTTCAGCACAGTGCCTGTCACTGGTCCTAGTTTCTGTACATCTTGCTGAAAGCCATGATCTTTTAGTACTGATTGTAAGTGGACCTTGAGCACTTAAAAGCATTAATAAGCAGCTGATACAGCTGCTGGAGCTGAGCCTCCCTGGCAGCATTGTTTGTCCTGCTGCTTGCTTTGAAAGGGCTGGGGTCTTCAGTGTGTGATTTGGCTGCCAGGTACTTGGAAGAGCAGCTAAGACATGCTTCCTAAACGTCTACTTTGTTTGTTCAGATCTGTGGGGTAGATGCCAGATTTGCAGAGAAGAGGAGTCTGGCAGCCTGGGACGTGGTGTGCTGTGAGGCGTCTGCTTTCCCCGCTGTGAGGAAGCAATGGAGAGCAGCTGAGGGGGAGCTCCTCAAAGGAGCTTGGCTGGCCCATGATCTTCACTTATCCGGTGCCCATCAGTCCCTGAGCTCCCCACAGCTCAAGGATGGGATCAGCAGAAGGGAGGACCACCTTCCAGGAGGGGTTCCAAGTATTGCAGTGAGGCATTTCAGAAGCTGTAAAGCAGGTGTTCAGGCTTATGATGGGTCATTGCCTCCAAAAGCTGATTTCTTTTTTTTTTTTTTTTTTTTTTTTCCCATGGGGCTTAGAAGTGAAAGCTTAGGAGTAGAGCAATTACACTTTGAGAAAGACTGCACAGTACTGACCAGCATGGGTACAGTGTAGTCTGTGCTGTAGCTATAGATCAGAACTCTAATACAAGTAAATATGTGACAGTTAGGTTGCCAGAAAGTGACAGAAAAGTAAAGTAACCCCTTAGCCTTTATAGATGATGCTGCATATTTAATTGCTAGTGGACTTTTTTAAAGACCATCTAGGCCGCTATTAGAAAAAGCAAATGTGTGATGTTAGCTACAGGGAACTAAAAGGGAGTCTTTCATGATCTTCTTGACCTTTACTTTCTTGTATTAATTCGTTTAATACCAGTGAGATTTTCCTGTTGTAAAAACTTGCTTAAGTAGAGACTTCTCCAAGATCTCTGAAAAAGACTTGCCAATTGAGAGGTAGGGCTGTGCAAGAGCTGTTTCTTCCTTTCCTCCTTTGATTTGTGAGGTCCTACTTCAGGGATCCACTGTGTGCTCTGTATCTTTTCTCTTTCCCTCCTGGATGAGACTTCTATCTGGTGCAATTCCCTAACAGCAGTCAGGGCTTTATTGCAGTAAACTTTTTAAGACAAACAGGAGCTCTGTGCCTGTGAGGCTTAGCATGCAGGAGAAAACTTTGGGGAAATGTTAGATAAACAAACACTCTTGGATACTTCTGAAACATCTTAATTGCTCTTAACAATCTTTACTTTTTCAACACCTACTGAAAAGGACTTAATGCTTGTGCTGCCTGTTTGTAGATCCCCAGGTACTAGAAGAGCCTCCAGATACCTGCTCTGAGTATGTACCTAGTGATTCAAACACTGCAGGTGAAGCTGTCCTTTTGACTGCTTGATGTTCATTAGTTAACTAGGTTTGAGCAGGTGGTTGTTTTGAATTTCTTAATCCTTTGCATGCTAAGAGTTTTCACAGTCATATAAACTGGTATTTCAGGAAAAAAATGGAAGGCAGACTTGCATTGCTAGTAGCAGTTTTTGCAAACCTTAGAAGGATACAGCTTCTGTCTGACTTCCCATGTTGAGGTGAAAAAGACACTGGGAAAAATCTGTGTCATCAGCATAGAACATCACTAGTTCTGTAAAAGCGGATTTAAGCATCTGTGGTTCTAGCATAAGAGTGTTGAGAGGCTACAGGGGTTGACTTGAAGCTGTGCTGCTGCAAGTGGTGCCACTGTAACAGCATCCCAGCGAGGACAGCTGGTGCTTGCGATGGTGCCAGGCTGCCAGTGCCTTGGAATTCCTGGGGAAGGAGCCGGACAGGATGACAGCTGGGCCTAAACATCAGGTGTATCCATGAACTAAATGTTTCATTACCTGTGCCAGTAAAGTAAGGTTTAAATGCATTGTTGTCTTGACTCGCTGACAGTAGTTCAATGATAAAGCTGCCTGTAGAGCTTGCAGATGAGCTTTGGAGTGGAGCTCAGAGTCAGAGCATTTGCAGGACTCGCTCTAGAGTCATGAGTTACTGTGTCACGCTGGATGGGAATTGTCAAAGCAGTATTGTGTTTCTACATATCAAAGGACAGAGTAACATCTTAGGCTTTATTTTTTCAATTAAGAATTTTCATTTGTCCCTCAGGGACAAGTAGATAGAAGACATCCTGTCTTGGCTATTGTGCCTGTTTGTGGGGCAAGAAGGGGAGGGAAGGGATAAACAGCAAGAGCAAGGAGTTGCAGTAATGAGAATGACATCTTATTTTAGTTGATACTTAATCAAGATGTGGTTCCAGGAAGCAGGAGCAGATGTCTTTGCCTTTTCTTTTCCCACTCTCTTATATCTTTGATTGTCACCAAGACTTAAATGTTTTAAGACCTGTTGACTCTTTTTTCACTTTATATATTTTTGCCCATACTCAAAGACAAACTAAACTGTTAGCCTTACCTGGCTTGCTTTTGTTTAATTCATAATATTAATCACAGGGCTAACTCTCCGTGACTTCATTTATTATCTTCTTTCAAAGATTGCCTCTTTTATTATAAAACTTTGAGGATATTTATTACTTGCAAGTGCATTTTGATAGTAAATTAGGGTAAAACTGACTGCATTTTTCACCTGGTGTTGTGTCCCTCTCCTATAGAAGAGCCAGAGACAGTATTTGAGCCCTTCTGGAAGCTGCAAGATACCTTAGGGGCTTGCAAGAAGGGGCTTTAAAGCAGGTCAGCCTTTTTGTTTTATGGCTCTTATTCAGTATCATTGTTGCTTACCAGCGCATCCAGAGAATGGCTAATTGCTTCTCCTGTGTTAATTGCCTTTGAAGGATGATCTGAATTGACTCCAAACTCTTCTTTTGCCAGGGTGGTGAAATCCAGGACTGTGCCTACTTGGACAGTGAAAGCACCTACAGCGAGTTGGAACTCTTCCCTGATGACGACACAATGACTCTAGCACAGCAAGAGGTTCACCATGAGTCTGACATGGACAGTGCTATTGAGAGTGCCCAGAGTTCGGAGGCCTCTGACGTGTGTCGAGGCGAGGAGAAGGACAGCATGCTTGGTGGCCTGTTTCTGCCTGGTGACAAGTGAGTGGTGGTTTCTCCCCATGGCAGCCTTGTTTGAGGCATGTGCAAAAAGGACCAGGGAGGAAGTAGCCCTCTTGACAAATCCCTGCTGTGGGAGGCTGAGGATGCCTGAAGGATTGGAAACTTAATATTCATTTACAATGTAAGGGAGATGGATGTCCAGGTCCTCTGAGTGGCTTAGTCTCAGCCCTGGCTCCTTTTGGCATGTTCTGTGATCACTCATGGGACTTGCATGTTGTACATTGAAGAGAAAGTGTTGGGTCTCTCCAGAATGGTTCTTAGGATCTTCTGTGTTCCCACAGCTTCTATATGCTGGAAATAAAACAAATGCTTCCTGCAAAGCAGTGCAATATGGGGAATGCTACTTTAGTCTTTTGTACATCTAGTTATCTGAAGATGTAGGCTCTGCAGATTTGCTTTGCAACTCCATGTACCAGGTTAATTCTGTGTGTTTCTAATTTTCCATAACCTTTAGTGTGCTACAGTAATTTGTGTTTAACACAGGGTGTCATGTGCATGTGTAACCATAGTTTGCTGTTAACACAAGAGTGTCTTCGTAATCCTAAATTGACTCTTCCCAGTTGTGTACCTGGGGGTGTTGGTAAAAGCTGGCTGGGGGGAAAAAGGACCCAATTTGATTTAATCCTGCTTTGAACTGAGCTAATGCAGTACTGCAGGACAGAGCTCATCTTGGCTTGCTTTGCAAGCCTCTGTCCTGTCTTCCCTGTTTCGGGATTGTCATCTTGATTGTGCCTCTTGAACTTATTTCATTGCTAAGGCAGTCCTTCTGTCTTCTGGGCCTCCTCAGATGCTCTCTGTGCAGCCTCATTCCTACTCTCCTCAATTTCTCAGCTGTCTGAGATCTGGCCTTCTCCCATTTGCCCAAGCAACCTCAGACTTTATCAGATAATTCCAGTTTTCATCAGCTCTTTATCAAACTTGTCTCCTTGCCTTGGCATTTACTATTCTTCAAAGCACCCATCCTTGCGGTGACCGACTTTTACCCATACCGCATTTGAAGGAGAATCTTTCCTGCCAGCTGTACCATCCAGGCTCTTGTGAAATGGGTGGGGGAGGCATTGTGCATCCTGTACCTCCTTTCTGGTGGGGGCAGGAACTACTGAGGCTTCCTTAGCTTTGGTAAATCTGTGGGAAAACACTTGGGAAGCCTCATGATTTTACCTTGGCCAGACCACAACACCTGCTTGTTGAAGAAGTAGGTGGATTGTGTATGAAGTGTGCCAGCCCCCTGTGAAGTCCTGCTCTGAAGAACAGGAAATAGTTTTTAAAAATAACGAAACAAACAAAAAAACCCTCACCAAACAAAACACCCGAAAGCCTTCTTTAGAAAGTGTTAGAATGGGGAAAACCAGTTGCTTTTAGCAACTCCCTTGAAAATGACTGTGATTCCTAGACAAGCCTGCAGCTGGTTATAAGCTCAGGATCTACCCTCAGCTTGGACTGTTTCAACCCAAGCAGTTTAAAGTTTGGCAAAACTTATAAATAACTACAAATTACAAGTTCTGAGCAACATTATCAGATGGGTCCAGCAGTGGTGACTGTTTGCACAGCTACCATAAGAGAAACTTAGCTATGCAATGCATGAGGGATAATGAAATACTGAACTTCAGTCTGTTGGCGAGTGGTGATGTTCCAGGGCTATTATGCTGGAGAGTAGATTTTTTGGACAAGTATATGTTATCATCTCCACTGAGGACTGATCATTTACTTCCGTTCCAGGTGGAAGTGTTATGGGGAGCTTCTTCCTAGACTGACTTGGTTAACAATATTGAGATGCAAACAGCTGTTGTAGTTACACAGATCATAGTCACCCAAAACCTTATCAATACAGTATGTCTGTGGCCCAGCAGCTCTTTATGAATAGATATTAATGTGATGTGTTAAGCATCTTACTAATCCATCTCCCAGCCTTGTTAGATAAGTTTTATCTATTTCTAGTATGAGTATTCCTATCTTAATGATCTTCATCCTTTAATAGTGTGCCAGGCTTGACTTGCCCTAATTTCTGTTCATGTGAATTGGATAAATGAATTGCAGGTTATAAATGGATCTCATCAAAACAGGAGAAACAAAAGAGCATACATCTGAAACGTTGGCAGGCTTCCTCTTCTGCTAATTGCTTCTGGAGGGAAGGGATACACAAATAATGCTTGCACCATCCGCCAAAGGAACACTGTGGCATCTCTTGTTTACAGCTCACAAGTGTAGTGTTACAGAAGGAGGAATCTTCCTGACCCCAAAAGTGTAGGGCATGGTTAAGAGGATCCAGGTAGACTCCAAAGAAACCTAGGAGGCAATATTGTTGAGCTGCTGGAGAACAACATCAGCTGGGAGCTACTGACCCATGGCTTAGCTAGTGGAGTTGAAGATACAAGCACTGTGCACTCAAACAAAGGGAGTGAAAAACTTAACCCAATCTGCACAAAGTGTCTGCAAATTGAATCAATGACTGTATTTGCAGAGAGGCCCTGGATTCTGCTTTGTAGTAGGAACAGTAATGTCTTGGGCAACTCTAGGGCTTCACACAAGTGGAACGTGTTTCAGGCCTTAGAAGTGCATTTTCCATAGGGAGAAGTTTGCTTATAAGAACTTGTATGTGAATTTACTGGCTTGTCTGTTTGAGCGCCTTACTGAGGCGGGAGCTGAGCAAACCTATGTAAAATACCTGCCTGTGCAAGATAGCAGACGGCATGACTGCAAGGTAGTCTGGACTCTGAGCAGGAGAATCACCATGCACTCTCTGCAGCATACGTGCTCCGTGATGTGCTCAAAACTGCTCTGCCAGCTGCTTTTCTATGGTGCCTGGCTTTGCTGATCTATTTACCTATATGTTTTCTGTCTCTGAGGTCACAGGGTCCTGCCGTTCCCTACTTGCTTGGCATTATCTGTGGTACTTCTCTGGTAGTAAAGCAGCCTTTTCTTGTCTCTCGGAGATATGGAACACATGTTTTGTCACAATGGAAGGAAAGGCAGGAACCCAGCCTCCGTTAGGTCACATTTGTAGCTTTAGTGACTCTCTGGCATGTGACGAGCTGAAGTTTGTTTCTGACCAGAGACAGTGGCTTGAATGTATGTGGGAGAGGTTTTATGGGGATCGCTGGAAAACTGTCTTGTACATGTTCCTCTCCCTATTCCATGCATTTTGGAGTTGAATGCAGGAACTGTGCATACAGAGCAGAAGTCTCATAAGCAGCTCTCTTTACCACCATGTGGAAATGATGACTGAGGTTTGTCAAGTTGTGCTCTTTAAAGTGAAATAGTTTGTGTTGATCCAAACCTGTCTCACAGGTAGCTTGTTCATAGGCTCTCATGCTTTTATCTTTCAGGGCACTATATCAAATGCACATCAGGTGTGTTTAGCACTTCAGGTTTTTTAGCATAAAGTGGGTTACAACTTCAAATGAGGGGACAAGCAGTAAAGGTGGAAGATTCCATGTGAGGTGAAATGCTATCAAAGTCGGCCTTCGAGACGTTTTGACCTCTTGTTTCAGGTCAAGTCCTCACAACCCTTCTGCAGCATCTGACCTCTCAACTTATTCAACCGCCTCTCTGATCAGTAATGAAGAACAGTTTGAAGACTATGGGGAAGGAGATGATGTGGATTTTACTCCCAGTAGCCCATGCCCTGATGATGAGACCAGAACCAACGCCTACTCTGACCTTGGCTCATCTGTGTCTTCCAGGTTGCTCCTTATTCATTAACAGACAATTTTTCAATTTTGTTCTTCTCTGAGCATGGGTGACCATACCAGAGTTTATTCTGGTTACGTAGACTGAGCTTAAAAGCAAAATGTTATCAGTTCATTTCTTGTCCTCCGATTGATACACTACATTTAGTAATAAGAGCTGTAGCACATACTCTTTCTGATAACCTCTTTTTGGTTCTGTTGAAATAACTGGGCTGTTTTACTTGTAGAGATTTCTTTCTAATGCAAGCAGTAGGTTTCACAGTTAAGGGCTATTATTGGAAGTTATCTGCTGCAAGCTGAAACCCAGCTTAGTACTAGGAACAAGCCCTGATACAGTGGGGAGAAGACCTGTAAGAGAGCTCTTTCTCTTTACTGTTCTGATACTACAGATCCTTAGCACTAACCTGTATGGTGACAGTGCTCTATATGGACAGGAGAGGTTTGTTGGGAACAGGCATCCATATTGACTTTGAGTGTCTTAGAGAACATAAGCGAGTAGCTGCTTTCTGTTAGGAGCTGGAAATGCTGCTACAGTCCACCAGTTTCCTGCATGTGAACTCAGTCTCTGTAGCTCTTACGTCCTGTCACCAAGTCAGTTGCTGATATTAAAATCCTTCTCTAAGCAAGGGAATGGGCGAGGAGGGCTGGGGAAGAGCTGACCATGAAAATGCTCTAGGATTTATCTGCTTGGATCAATAGCACATGAAGATCTTGTGCTTCATTGCTAACACAAGACAAGCTTGCTACATCCCTCTATTCTGCATGCAACCCCCATGTTCTACCCTCTGTTTCAAGAACTTCTGCAATCCAACCTTGCCACTTCTGTCATGCATGCAGAGCCAGCACCCCTCTCCGCTGCCCCTTCATGATGATGGCTTGTGTCCTTCATCCCGTTTCCTCAGGTTTATGCAGCCCCTTCCATCCTCATTCCTGGGGCTATGTGCACTTCATACCATGATTACTCTCTTTTATTTGAGTTTATTTTCTCTTTATCATGCCAAGAGCTACCGTTATCTCCTTTTTAGACCTATGTCCACTTCTCCCTTCCTCCTCATTCTATGGTTCCTTCCACCCTACCATCTGAGGGGGTTCGTGTGACTGCTTCTTACCAGACCACTGTTTTTCATCTTCCTGTTTCTCTCTTGGAGAAAAGACTCTTCAGGTTGCATGCCAGGCTCTAGTGGGAAAATGGACACGATGAGAGGGGACACTGTTGAGGTGGAACATACTGATGTAGCTGCTTTTGCTACATGCATGGACTCTCTGTACCTCTTCTATTCTTCCAGTCACCCAAACTGATTCTTTCCACTGACACCCAGAACAAGTCCTCTGTAAGACTCAACTCAGAGAGGTAGACTTGCTCACAGACTAGCACTCTCCATCATCAGCTCTAAGTTAGATATGCTGTGGTTAGAGGTGGTTCCCCAAGTCCCTTGTCTGTGATTTTGACACACAGTCAAGAGGAAAACCTGTTGTGAGTTGGTTACTATAGCCAGTAACGTCTTTCCTTTCCTGCAAACAGTGCTGGCCAAACACCCCGAAAAATGAGGCATGTTTATAACAACGAGTTACTGGATGTTTACTGCTCACAGTGCTGCAAAAAGATAAATCTACTCAACGATTTGGAAGCCAGGCTGAAAAACTTGAAAGCAAACAGGTAAGCAGCCTATCGCACTGCTTTTAGCAGTGCCCCCTTGAAATGGGACTAGGTAGTAACAGGAGGAGAGGAAGAGGGAGCCCTCTCCTTCCCTGTATCCCATTCTGTCTTACATGTATTGTTCTTAAACAGTGAGAAATTCAGACTTTGACGTCTAGCCAAAATGCTGTTCTTCATTAGCTAGTAAGTATTTTTCTGACTTAAGGTGCAGACAGCATTAATAAACTCAAATATTTTAGCCATTGAGCTCTTTGGTTACAGAGTAAGAGTGATACTTCCAGGATTTTTTCCCAGGAAGTGGGCTCTGCTGTGCTGCTTAATGCAGATCTATGGTTAGCTACTGTTTTCTCCAGGTGGGAAGGAGTGATGTGGCAGATCCTTAGCTAATGCATATAACCTTACACCTCTCCTAAAGCTAGTGGTAAGCAGATGTACTTCATTCCTGTGGGATTTTTTTTATCTTCAAAGGAGCTTGGAAAAATGATGATTCCTATGACAGAAGTTACTTGTGGGGTTCTTTACAATTTCAGCTTTTTCCTTACGTTTCTATCTCTGCCATTCCATCCACTTCTAAACTGTGCTGAACACTTGGAAAGAATCCAGTGCTTCCAACAGTCGTCTACAGTTTTTGAAGCAAATTTATTTGGTGGGCTTCTAGCTCCCCCTAGAAACTGAATATAAATCCTGCCTGTCTGCATAATCCCTGGCACAGGGCACATGGGACTGCTGCTTCTTTTGATGACACAGCAATATAGTACTTGATACAAACAACGCTCCTGCTGTAGCAAGGAGTCTGCTAACACCCAGACCATGACCGGCTAGGGCTTTGGTAATGCTGTGAGTGAGGCTGTTTATACCTGGCTGAGAGTGATGCTCTGACAGAGAGCTGTGTGTCTGTGTGCACACAAAGATGTGATACCCTCTTAACATGAGATGCAGCTGGATATTATGGTTTGGTTCTAGTGCTGTTGTCTGGAGTCTGGTCCTTCATTTAGGTAATACTAGTCTCTGGCTGCAAAAGGGAACTGGGAAGCATTATGGGGAAGGATAAACTAACTGTTTATAAATTCATCTAAAAACTGGGAGTCCATATTAAATCACTAACTCAGTGTCCCTTTAGTGGTGTTTCTAATACTAGTTTCATTCTGATTTACACTGACAAATCTCTGCTGAATATAACAATATTTGCAAATTGACTTATTAATGGTCACAGTAATTTGTGGCTCTACCCATCTTCGCATTGTTGGTAACTGCAGCTTTTAAGTTAGTTGTCTAAGAATATTGTTCACAGAATCGGGTTTTTTTACTTCACTAAAAAAGTCAGTATTAAGTTTCATTGTGCGATTCAACTGGAGTTTAAATTAAGATTGAATCCAACGCTGATCAAATAAGTGTTTAATTCCTATATCATTCCTTCTGTATCTATGTAGCCCTAACAGGAAAATATCGAGCACAGCTTTTGGGAGGTAAGAGTCTTCAACTTTTTTATGAATACATGTGGAATCAGCTGTAACAATTCCCTAAGTGGCGGTGGGAGGAGAGAGGACAAATAAGTTTAGGAAAACAAAAATGTACCAAGACAGGTTTTCAAGGGGAGGGACCTCTATTTGGATAGGGATGTTACAGAATATAGAAGCCATGGCTAGTCTTAGAGCAGGGCCCTGAACTGTAAAGAGCTTTGTTAAGAACATAGATAGTTGCTTCCTTGTCTGCCAGCTTTCTTCCTTTTATACTGCTATTCCATCAGTCCAGCTACTGCTTCTTTCACCCTCATAATGTGGTCCTTTTTGTTGTTGTTGTTGCCAAAATGCAAAGGAAAGCAAAAGCATCCCTTTAAAAAGGACAATCAGAATTGTGATCTTCCTCTGAGTGAATGAACCAGCCCTGGGCTGGGGAGGGCTGTGAGTTTCAAGAATATTTTAGATAATCTCCAGTGTTATGTATTCTGACACTATACTGTAGTGGGAACTGCTTGAGATTTCTTTTTTTTTAAAGAAGTTTTTACTGCATGAAATTTTCTAGATTAACTGTACCAGCCAGTGACAGGGGTGGCCTTATTTTAAATTTCTAATACGGCAAATACAACACAGTACATAGTGTGAATAAGGCCAAGTAGTTTTTAAACTATGTTAATGGTGGTGGCAGATCCTATCAAAAGCAACAAAGAACTCACACCCTAGAACTAATGTCATTGATTGTACTCAGTATGACTTCATTTAGCTACCAGTCTCTTGTAAGATTTGTGCTTAAACAGTTGTAATTTTCATTGAAGTGGTTACACAGATTTTAGCATCAAATGTTCAACGTGCAAAGCAAGCCTATAAGACAGTACCAGACTCTTTTGCCTTCATCCTCATCAAGCAAAATAATTATCCTTCTGATCTTTCAGACAACTCTTCCACAACAGTAACTTCAGCAGCAGTAATGGCAGCACAGAAGACCTGTTCAGAGACAGTATAGACTCCTGTGATAATGATATCACTGAAAAGGTGAGTAGCTGTGTGCATTACAATTAATGTACCCAACAAAATCCTGCTGGAGACATGTATCAATTGACAAAGATCTCTTGCTTACAATTACCAGTAATCTGAAGTTGGTCATTCAAAGTGTCCTTGATACTCCATTAATATTATGACTTTGCTTCACAAAAATGCAAGAACTGTGCAAATACAGTTCTAGGCATTGTGTTAGTACTTCTTTACTGTCTGTTTGCATTGATCACCGTCCAGGAAGATGCAGGGTCTGGGGAACTCAGAATTTCAGAGCTTAATTTTGCTGCTGGCTTTGCAGGGAAATATGCCCCCTTTAAAAAAGATAACATAGCTAAAAGCCAGTTAGGAACAGTGAAGGGGTCTACAAAGAGAGATTCAAACTCTCAGTTCTTTTCCACTTCCCTTTCCAGGTAACGTACCTCGAAAAAAAGGTGACAGAACTGGAGAATGATAGCCTGACAAATGGTGACCTGAAGAGCAAACTGAAGCAAGAGAACACACAGCTAGTTCACAGGTAAGAAAGCATGGAGCCAGTTCTCTTTATCCTGTCAGAGCAAAGCTAGAACAAAGTTGTAGGGAAGGAACATCTCTACCTGTAAAATATGACCAAGTCTTCTTCCTTAATGCTGACATATAAGATAAGGCTTCATTTGAGAAGTCCAAGTGGAATAGGTCTGCTTTGCTGAATTTTCAGCAAACAGAAGCCTTTCAAACAAATTTCTTAGAACAGAGGTGTTACTGTCTTGTACAGAGCAAGCTCTAATGTTATAAAAGGGGGGTTACCACTGTGGGTTTTTTCTTGTGTGTAGCAAAAACAGAAGGCTGGATCATAGTCCCAACTTCATGAGACTGAGAATGAAAGAATAATAGATGAACTGATACCACTTAATTCTATGTGAGAAGATATTGGGAGAAGTTAAATGGCAAAAGAGATGAAGTAGAATGAAATAAAGGAATGGGGAGGAAAGAGAGAGGCAGTGAAGTTGCACCCTTTTTCTTAAAGTACTTGTGAAGCTGTTACTGAAATGAGATCTGGTTTCCCTAGAGTTCATGAGCTAGAAGAACTATTGAAAGACCAAGAAACATCAGCAGAACAGACCTTGGAAGAAGAGATAAAGAGACATAGAGAAGCATATAGCAAGTATGAAAAAGAGAAAGGCACTGAAATTGAACTGCTAAATACAAGGTAAAAAACATCGTGGTGCCAGCTAGAACAGAGCACAAGTTCTTTTCTTCATTTTTACTTTGCATATAAACATAGGCTGCTCACAACCAGACAGTGCACAGATTGTTACAGGTTAGTAGTTCTATAGAGTGGCTGTGCAGTTTCATGTCTAATGCCCAGAAGCTTTCAGGATGCTTTACATTAATGTTTTAATCCACGTGGCCCATGTAGACAGCTTAGCTGGATATTTGGCATGGATTCAAGGAGGGAATTGTGACCAGCTGTAGTGAACACTTGTGTCTGCATTTGTTTCTTGCTACTTTAATTCTTCTTAGATACCTGTTGTTAGGAGCATAAGAATCTGAGGGTCAGTGTAGCATTCCTGGACCTAAAAACAAACAAAAAGCACCCAATAGCACATGATAAAAAAATGCTAAGATTGGAAAGATTTTCTTGTTTGGTCTTTCTATCAAGTGCAAGTGAAATGGCTTCTCAGAGCATGCTACTTTGCACGTCTGCATTCTCGAAGAGGCATCTGCTGTATTATTTTTATTATTGACACAGGGTTCAGCAACTGGAAGAAGAAAATGGAGAGCTGAAAAACACTGTCGCACGACTGAAATCACAAACGGAGAGATTAGACGAGGTAACAACTCATGAGTGCTTGAGTAATTTAACAGCAGCTTGATTTGTGTAGGAGCGAATTAATACAGTGATTGGCCCAGCTTCTTTAATTTGCCTTCCCTAAACAAGATTATTAATAGAATTGGAACACTGGTCACCTTTAGTGGCAGGAATGCCCTGAGACACATGCCAGCTTATGACCAGCTGTGTCTGTAGTTTTGTGTTGTAAAACTGAAGATGGCTCATGCCCTTGCAAACTAGCTATGACGTTCCCATTTATTGTAGGAAAGGCAACGCATGTCAGATAGGTTGGAAGACACTAGTCTGCGACTGAAGGACGAGATGGATTTGTACAAGAGAATGATGGACAAGCTGCGACAGAACAGGCTGGAATTTAACAAGGAGAGGGAAGCCACACAGGAGGTAGGTGTAAAGATGGATGTAAGACCAGGCAATCGCATCTCGTCTGCATGGAAGCCCATCTGAAAAAGAATGGACAGATAGGATGTGAAAACACAACTTCCAATGAATGTATTACTGGATTGTGTTTCTATGGCAGCAGTACCCATAGGGTGATTAATGCTGCAAGAATACCTAATAAATGGCAATCCCTGACCCAAAGGGTTGACAACTCTTTGAGAACTTGCAGTGTTGAATGTGTGCCCCAACATTTCCTTTACTATGTTTGCAAGGGGAATTATACCTTGCAGACACAAAGCTTCGAGATTAGAGCTACTTCCAGCTCCAAAGCAGTTTAAGTGACCTGTGCTTGCATAGAAGACCGAGTGGCTGTATTGTAGGACTATCTGGCCTCAGCCATGATCACAGAGTGGTCGTGTCAGAGTACGGAGTTGCAGCACAGAGATGGCTGCTGCCAGGGAGCGCTGGTTGTGCAGGGGCTGGAGAGACATAGTCTGCTTGTATGCCCACAGCTCATTGAAGACTTGCGGAAGGAACTGGAGCACCTGCAGCTGTACAAGCTGGAATGTGAGCGTCCTGGACGTGGGAGAAGTTCTTCATCCAGCGTGAGTGAATTCAACGCCAAAACCAGAGAGGTGGAAATGGAGCATGAAATAAAACGGCTGAAGCAGGTGGGCAGGGAAGGGCCTCTCGATCCATGTGAAATGTACAGGACTGCTCTGCCCATAGTTGTGACCCCTAGCACACTGTCTTTAGATTTTATCCCCTGCTTCTCACACAAGCACAAGACCTGCATTGCTTCTGTCTAGGACTTTGCACAGGTGATGTTAATTCTGGATGTAGGAAACACCTGTGATTCAGGCAGGCAGGACTTGTCACTGGTGGCACAGAATTCCTGTTAGCTTGCAGCCTTACTATATGTCATCCAAGCTACCTGTGATTTTAAAAATTTATTTTTTTAATGAAACCTTGTAGGAAGAACTTAATGTGTTTTCATCCTTAAATAGGAGAATCAGAAACTTCGTGACCAAAATGATGATCTTAATGGACAGATCCTAAGTCTTAGTCTTTATGAAGCTAAAAATCTCTTTGCAACTCAAACAAAAGCCCAGTCACTGGCTGCTGAAATTGATTCTGCATCAAGAGATGAGGTAATATGCTTTTTTAATCAAGTATTACATCCAGAAATACACATTTTTCAATGTCATTAACTGTCAGGGTTGAACTATCTGAAAATGAACAACTGACATGAACAACAGAAAAATGTGCTTTGCTGGGAGTTCAAGTGTTAGAAGATTGCCTTAAATCTAACTGCTTTTGGGTGTTCCTTCCATTTGTATGACTCTTCCATTTGTGTGTCTCAATTTGAATTACTACAGTATCAGTGAACTGGTTTACAATTAATTTATTTTAACAACATCTGTCTTACAGGGTACTGTGATATTATGACATTAATTTCATACAGAAATTAACCATAGCTAGTTACTTAAATTTTTACTTTATAGACTTTGTTCTAAGTTACTTCATTTACAGGCTCTCACTTAGATCTCAACTGGAACTATATGTTCCTTGTAGCAGAGCTGAATTCTTGGAGATAGTATGTAGTGTGCAAGTAATAATCTGGTAATGCTTTGGAAGATACTGTAGAAGACCCATTTGTATGTGGGCTTAGTCAAGCCTGTATAGCTTCCTTTAAGCTCCAGGACAGATCGTGAGATCAGACCAGTGGATATGTAGGAGCTCCCAGGGAAAAAGACAAGTTATTGGTGAAGGAGATTAAAAGGAATTGTTTGCCTTTCATGCTTTGTTTCTTCTGGACAAAGCTTCCCATTTCTTCAAGAGGAGTCCTGAGACAGACCTTCTTACCCAATCCATACTTGAATGACCCTGTTAGCCTTAGCTTCTGGGCAGTCCCTTGAAGTGAAGTGCATACTTGAGTTTCTTGCTGAACCCAGAGCCCTGTGAAGAAAGACTCTTTAATTGTTGAACTCTAATTAGGTAAAAGCAAATAGGGCTTTTGCTATTGTCAAGAAAAATCTTTATTTCTCCTTCTGAATTTTATAACTCTGGCTCATGTAAGGAGTACCCAGCACTCCCTCTCTAAAGGAGGAATGTGTCTTGCAACTGTGGCCCAATCTTTGTAAACCTCACAGACCTGCATATAAACTTTTCCCATTGTGCCATTTTTCTTATGTAATCAAAATGAAGGTAAGAAACTGAAGATTCAGGATGGGACTTTAATGAAGGCTAATGAGAATGGGCACCCAGATCACATTAGCTTTAGGAGGATCTGGGGCTCTGACACTCCTGGGCAGCTTTGTCAGTTTGGCATTAAGCATGGGGAGTACAAAGACCAAGCAGTCTTCATCTTTGGTGAGTTTGAGGGGTGTTTCTCATCTCAAAGGTCTAGTGAAACACATGTATTTAATAGAGAACATAGAATATTCAGTGGGTTGTTCTTGAGGAGTATGTAGCTGTGTTGTTTTGGGGGGTTTTGGTAGGTTTTTCTTGAGAGAGTATGCATATGATACAGAGGCAGTCCATATTATTCCCATTGCAATACACTGAAATCCTTGTTGTCTTCAGCAGTCTTTCATGCAAAGTGCTTTAGATTTCAGCAGATAGGGAAAAAAATTCTTGCACTGAGATGAACAAGGTCATCCATGATGTGAATACAGGATGGATGGGTATGTTAGATGGGGAATTTGTTTCAGATGACCTGCCAAAAGATCCCTGGTGATGACTGTTCACCACCTTCCTTAACTGTAAAGATCTTTAACCTATAGATCATTTCTAATACAGGTACAGGGAGGAGCTAGAGGTAGAATGCCAATCACAAAAGGGAATTGGTGATTCTGAGCAGGCACTAGTCTCACCTGTCTCAATTTCATGCTATTATGTAAACTAGTGAGAATATTTAAAGAGTAACTCTGAAATGTTGTGTCTCAGCTCATGGAAGCCCTTAAAGAACAGGAAGAGATAAATTACAGATTGCGACAGTATATGGACAAGATCATTTTGGCAATCCTAGACCACAACCCGTCTATCTTGGAAATAAAGAATTGAAGAGAATATGAGAAGGAAAAGCAGCAACTGCCTGACATTTCTGCACATGCCACTGGATCTAAACAACACTCTGATACTGTAAATTAACCTATAAATATATATATATATATATACAGTACGTGTGAGTGTGGGTACGCGGGTGTGTTTATATGATGTTTGGTACACTGTTATTTGTCATTGAATTGGCTTGGTTAGACTTTTTCCATGCACTTTCAATACCTGTGATAGGATGGATACTGTATATTAATGTAATAACAATATAACTGGATCATGCTGTCTTAGATATTGGACAAAATGACTCTACCTCTAGCTGTAAAGGTAAAAAATACAATGGAAGCATACAGATGTGGCCCTAACTTTAGGAGCAAGAATTGTTCTTTCGTTCTTCCAGGAATTTGGGTACCACAAACCAATTAACATACCCAGGTTCAGTTCCTGACTGGTGCTGACTGTGTAATTTCCTATTTGATTTAGTTTTAGTACTTAAACCACACATAGGATTTAAAAAAAAAAAAAAAAAAAAAAAAAAAAACAAACCCACACAAACAAACTTTGGGGAAAAAGACACAAAGTAAAAGGGAAGAAGAGGAAGATATTGCAGAATTGTTGCTATTTGTGAAAAATCATCTTCTACTGGTTTGCCACTGTCAGCATAAAGTGCTTTTTATGTAAGATCACTTTGGAGCTTGCTTTGGGATGCTCTGAGCCAGCCTGCTCTTTAGCGTGTGTGAGCATGTGTATTTTTTTATGCCAGGGTCCCTGTAGCATTGAGGCTAAGAAGCTCTTCACATCTGTTCCCCTATTTTCTGGGGCTTATCATGGGCCGTTAAGATGAATTCTGGGATCCTGCCCCTTCCTTTCACCCTGAATTTTAAAGATTTCACTGAATAAACATGTTCCAGTTCTTATTAAAAAAAAAAAAAAAAAAAAAACAACCAAAAAAAAGAAAAATTGCATGAAATAGCTCACTTTTTAGGGGCAGGAGGAGCAGCCCTTGAAATTGTGTTGAGTTGCCTTCCTGCCCCAGATACACTGTACTCCGTTGGGATTGACATTTTCTGGGCAAACTGTGTGGAGGACCAGCTGGGTCCTAACGCAGTGATGGAGAGAAGTCTGATGTGGAGTACTTTTACCTATAGGACAGTAAAGAGAAAAAAGAGCTTGGTCTTGCAGAAGTTGCCAATCCAGACAGTACACACATGCATATCTAAAGCTCTGAACAGGGAACACATCCTGATTTAGATGAGCAGTTGTGCAAGTGCTTAACTTTAAATGTGTACTGTGACTGCTCATAGAAGTCAGTGGGACAGAACATAAAGTTGAGTGTATGCTTAAATGCTGCTTTAAATAGGGATGGACTTCAACACATGCCTGTGTTCTCCTGAGCTGGATCTATGTACTGTAGGGCTAGGACCTTTTTACTTAAAAATGTAGCTTATATAAGGTAGCTTATGGAATTGTTTGGGTAGTTGAACACTAAAAGAAAGAATTTTATTCCATGCACTTTTTTTAAAGTAAAAATTTTACATTTTTGATTCACACCAACTGGCACAGAAAAATAGGCTCAAGTGTCTGGCTTTCCCCAGTGCATAGAGATGTTTCTGCTATTGAATACGCTCCCCAGAAGAATGTTACAGTAGCAATGACTGTGCTTTCCTGTGTATTTCTTGCTATTGGCAGTGTCTTGCCCCTAGTATTCTCTTGATGTATCTTGGTGTGTATATGTGATGCATTTTTCCTGAATTTGAATACATAAAACATGTATTCAGTTATGGATGTAAATATATATATATTTTTCTGCAATCTCTGTGCTTTTGCCTTCAGTGATGTGTTACTGGAGTGATGGGAAGGGGGGAAGTACTGAAATCAGGCTTTCTTGAAGGCAAGAAAATAAAAACAATTTGTTTCTATGTATCTGCATTAGGCAGGTGTAAAGTAACTGGAAAGCAGAAGGGACCAGAGGAATAACTATGGGCCACAACACCCCAGTACACAAAGGTATCTGTAGGACTTCAGTGCTCTGGGAGAAATGGTACAGTGATGTCTCAGGGCTGGTTTCCTGAGGCTCTAGGGTAATCTGGAGGAAGGGATTTAAAGACTACTACTTTGTCACCTGGGATGGTGTAAAATATCCTGTGCTAAATTGCAGCAACTTCTGTTTGTGGAGAAGCAGGTGGAACACCGTGGACACTGCACCTTTCCCACCTGCTGCTGTTTCTGGATGTGCCACCCCAAAGGTAGGAGAGGAACAGTTAAGACAGCTTGGTGCTACCTATAGCTCCCTGCCTACAGAACTCTTTTTTGCACTTTAGTGATGTCATTTCCTTCTGCGTGGTGCTGTCTGTGGGTTGTGCCAAGGACTTTGCTCTTTTTATAGGCCACAGAGAACTGTTTCAAATTGTCAGGTGGCTGTTGCTAACCCACTGTGACAAGCGGGGCTGGGTGAGCCAGCAGCCCTGCTGCTGGAGCTGGCTGTGTCTGGTAAGTCACATTTCTGTCCTGCTCTCGTGCAGTGGATTTAAAGATGAGTGAAGCTGTTGCAGGTCAGACTGGTGACTGAATGTTTTCCCCTAAATATTTTTAAGTGAACTGGACTTAGCTTCAAAATATTAATACTCTAAAAACCATTCCCATTAGGGTAGAACATCAACAAATGTTGAGGACTATTTCACTGAAAGTTACGCTGAGCACTTGGGAAGCAGAGAGCCTGGCTTACTTCACTGAGACCACAGAACCTGTGGACATGAACAGAAGATGGCATGACTAGTGATAGCCAAGTGTTTGTGCAGGTAATTATATGTAAGAGGTGAATAGTCACTAATAGTGACAAATAGTCAGTAAACCTGGCTGAAATCCTGAAAGCAGTATTCTGGCCAAGGGTACCAAGCAGTGGATTTTCTGAAGACTTGCAGGACTTCTTGTTTAGCTCTGTATCCGACAGCTTTAGCATTTAGAAGCCTCTCCTTGCTCCAGTGTTTGCATTTAAAGACTTGTCTTACCACCATGTTGGTGGTGTTTGTAGCTTTGTTTTATTGCATGAAGGAATTATACTTCTGCTCCTGTGGGGCCCTTGGTGTGGTACTGCTTTATGTTATTGTTCAGATACATACCCAGATCCTTGCTGTGTTTGACGAATAATGCGAGTTGGAAGTGGGAGAGGCATTTTACTGGCAGATGCATTTTCCTCTAAGGTATCCACCTCTAAAAATACTAATTAGTAATTGCATTCTTAGACTGAGTAACTACAAATACTAGAGCAACTTGGTTTGCAATCTAAGCCTTGGAGAACACTTCTACCCCAGAAAAGTAATCATCATGTTTTATGACATGCAGGTAATTTGGCAATAAGGAATCACTTGATGGGTCACTGGGACTGGGAGAGGAATAACTTGATGATGATGTTACAGAGTGCATATTTTGATAAAATGTCAGACAGGCACGGCAGAACAGACAGGAGATGTGGAAGATAGGGAGGCACTGGTTTCTGTGTCTACTGTCTGATAAACTTACTACTTCACTGTGGGCTTCCTTTGTGCTCACAGGCCAGCTGGGGAAGTACAGTCTGCCTCTGTCAGTGTTACTGTTGATGGAACAGTGGCTCACTTCTCTGGGTAAATAACTTTAAACAGAAATGTGGTATCATATTACTCTAGCAATACTCAAATGCAGTAAACATCCTTGTGTCAAAACTGTGCTTCTCCTTTAACCCTCGGGGATGCAAACATAATCCAAGGTACTGTATCTTGATCTGTTCCTTAGTTCGTTCTTCTGTAGATTCTGAAAAGCTAAGTGATACTCTGGTCAAACCAGTTGCAAACCACTGCAGGTGTTTTTGTACAGTGAAAAAAATTACTTGCTTCTGTCTAGAAGCTGTCCTCCATCAGGCTAATCCCACACACAAGCTACTACAGAAAAAATACCTCTTTCAAAACTTGCACTTAAGAGTACCTGAAATGTAGTCTCTCAAGGTTTTTCTGATATTGGCTGTTTCCCTCCAGACATCAGTCTTCAGATGCTGCCTAGTTCTGGTTTCAGAGTGTGATGCTGATTCAACACTGCCTTGACATCCAAAGAGTATTTTTCAGCTTTTTGAATAACTTCTATTAGAGACTCAAGCTATTTGAGAGTTGGTCATGTTTTGAAGTACAACAGTGACAAACTGTAACCATCCCATCTGTTTTTAAGGAGTTTTTAATGTACAAATTTGTAGCAAGTCTCAAAAAAAAAAAATAATCCAGTACACTTTTGCTGCCAGCTTTCCTTTTATGGTCTTGGGAGAAATTCAGATGTTTCTCAGCCAGATCTGTAGGGAGTTGAACCAGCATTATTAGTTCTCAAAGATATGTGTATCAACAAATATTTTGCTGTCTGAATGCAGCAATTCTCCATTTATTTCAGTAGAAGTGCATTACTCTCCAGAGAGGATCTTGGCCTACAGTATCTAGGCTCCCTAATCTGGTTACTAATTGAGGGCTTGGAAGCTAATATGTAAACATACATTGTGGCCTGCTACATCAGTCACTGTTCAGCGGTCTCTGCATCATAGTGCTAGTGACATGCGATGAATCTAAGAACTAGAATTTACAAATAAATTAATATTTTCCTTCGTTAATGGCAGTGAATATACAGTGGTTTTGTCTTTAAAACAAATACTGCATGGTGTGGTCTGAGGGGTTTTTTCCAAGGAAGGAAGTAAGTAGCAGCTGATCAAACACTTGCCAAATCAGTGGCTTGGCTTACATTGATTTGAGTGAAAAATGACTCTCAAGTTTAACTGAGCAGTTTCTAGATTGGTTCTGGTGTACATAGCAATGCTTGTATTCTTGTTATGTCATTTGTTACTCAAGGAACATTGTCAAGAAGGCATGCCAGGTGATGTAACACAGCTGATTTCAAAGGATATGGTTCAACAGTTGCTGGCATTTTGTTCCTTTGCAGCATCCTCAGGGTTATTTTCTCAGTATTTTTAAATCCAAAATATTGATCTTAGGAGCAGTTTACTGTTGAAACATGTGATGTGTGTGGGCTTATTATTTAATGAAACTGCATGCGCCCTTAGTTTGATAAGGATTTCAGTAAGTATTTGGTCTGAATCCTGTAATCCTGCACAATGCACTGGGAGTTGCCATGATATGCAAGAGTCATTTCTTTGTGAAATTCTTCCCCAGTATATCTTCTGTTGACATTTACACTCTTGGTCTTGTCCCCAGCCACTGTGCCCGCTGTCAGAATGTCTGTGTGCCTTGAAGCAGCCACTTTGAGCAGATGGGAGGGACAAACACAATATTCCTGACTTCAGTGCTGATTTAGCTACTGAGATGAATTTTAGCCCTGTCTTTATACCAGGCCAGTCCTGTCCATGCCTTTTGTGTGGCCCTGAAAATAAGTTGTGTGACAAAATGTTGTGGCTGATTCTCATGGTATGCAACCACATAGGGTGAATAAGTTTGATATCCATCCAGGTAGGGGTCATTGGGATGTCCCTGTGGGTTTTGCCTTAATTCTGTGTAGCTATCCAATTGCATGTTGTACTTACCCACTCTGCAAGGCACAGCCCTACTAG